GAATCTACATTATTAATCCTTTTAAAGCATAAACAGAAGTGCAACTGAAGCCTGGAGGCCCCAGGCAGACACTAGACAGGGATGTGGTTCTGGGAGGAGGGCTGCCCCCCCACTCTGTGACGCTGTGCCAGCTGCCTGGGTGGCATCTGCCCCCATGGACGGTCAAGGAAGCTGCTAGTTCCTGAGGCATACTGTGTGACGGAGCAGAAAACCTGGGCTTTAGAGTAAAGAAAGATCCACACTCTAATCACTGCTGACGATGGGCTGGGCAGCTTCTAACTCTCTGAGCCTGTATGAGCTGCTGTGGGATTCAGGGAGGTGTTATAAACCCTTCTGATGATATCCTGTAAATGTTTGTGTGGCCTCTGCTCTACCTGGAGAACACCTGGCTTTAGGTTCTCTTTCCACAGAACTCTGAGCCCCATGAGGACACTCTCTAGGAAAGCTAATGACAGATGGTCATGAAGTGACTTACTGATCCAGAGGCTCTTGTGGGACTGTACATCGTCAAGGACCTCCGAGAACCTCGAGAACAAAGTTGCCACTGGAGTGCTCATCTCTGGGGGCTCACGTGTGTGTCTGTGAGGCAGGACCTCGGGCTCCTCCTCCCAGCGCATACAAGAAAGCCAAGCACAGGCTTCCTAAATGCACCAACGGGTTCAGAGGGCAGCTGCAGTTCCTCTGAGTAGCAGGGAAGTGGAGAAGTCTGTCCAGATTGTTGGTGCCTGTAGCCCCAGGTCACAGAGACATCACCGTTATCTGCCCCATGGGCTAAGGACCCACTGGCACTTTTTCTCTAGCTGCCCAGACATCTAGCATCTCTGGGAACTGGCTGTTTGTGCATCAGGACCGTTCTAGCCCAAGTTTTTGGAATGGAAGACTCAGTCTTGGGAAAGCAAGACCTGATGCTGTCTAGGCCTGGGGGTGGGGGTGGCAGAGGAGGGGGCATCCCTGCTTCCTGCAGTGGGGATTATTTGGGCTGCCTTCTGCAACCACCTCAGTCCTGCCCAGCTGCTTCTCAGGCCCACAGGGATGTTCTGACCCCAGTTCCCTCCCTGAAGCACTGGTACAATGGCTCTCCCAGAGCGAGTCTCCGCCGAACCCCTGGGATCTATGCTTCCAGGCTTTGCTCCACCTGCTCTGTCTGCAGTGTCCTCTGTGCCCTTCCCTAACCATTATCCCTACGAAACCAACTCCTTCCAACTCCACCTCAACTGCCACCACTGCAGGAACCTCCCTAATTACCCTCCTAGACACATTCATTTCTTACCCAACTTTATACACTGTCAACTCCTCGAGGGTGAGGATGAGTCCTCTCTCTCTCTCTTTCTCTCTTTCTCTCTCCCATAAGTCTGGGCACTAGACTTCACATTACCCTGGACAAATAAACAAATGGCCAATACCAGGTTAATGCTAATAAGCTCAGAGTCTTCCACACTCCCTTGGGAGAACCTAAACTATATCAGTTCTATCAGCTGTTCAAAACCTTCAATTAATGGATTCCAGTCTCTTCAAAGCAGTGGGAGAATTTCCCCAAAGTCAATCCTGAGCCACAGGGCCTCCTCTAGGCAGACTTGGGAACTGGCTACTCTCACAAATTCCTGATTGCTCTCAAAAAGGTGAGCATCCAGCTCTACTTGATGACATAAAGGAAGGGAATAATTCCTTTTCTGTTTTTAGGGAAATACAGGCAACAGTAAAGTATGCAGGGGAACAGAGGCATACCCGACATGGAGCCTTGGGGGGTGCAACAGGGAGGAGGCAAGAGGACACGTGAAGCCTCCAGACCCCATGCCGTTGACCCCACAGACAAGCCGCCAAGAGAAGCAAAGCCAGAGAACCTAAGTGGAGGCAGCTTATTTCATCAGCATCCAGCTGGTTAAAAATAACTTCACTTATTAGTTTAAGTGAGATCACCACAGGGTTGGAAATTCACTGTCAATGAAACAAAAATACTGGAAGGAAAATGAGAAAAGTCTACATTCATGATGAGCTTTATTTCAAAAAAGAAACACAGGAAGGAAGCTGCCTGGATATTCCACAGGCTCTGTTTTCCTTCTGGGCTCTTCATAAGGCACTCGTCTACCAATCTGGGAGTCAGCACGCTTCATTCTTCCCATCTTGCCAGAGAGAAGCAGCAGCATGGAGCTAAGTGCTGTGGAGCATCATCAGGAAAAAGGCAACCTTAGGAGATGACACGGCACTGGCGTGAACGCTGAGCCAGACCGCCCCTCCCCTGCTGCAGAACCTCAAGGAACTGCCTGTTCTCGGCTTCTGCTGAGGCTCTACACCTTCCTTCAGCACACAGATTTCCCTTGTTGCCTGTGCTGCCAACAAAGGCTCTACTGAGGAAAAGCGACGGCTCACCGAGTAGGGTGGAGGCCGGGAGGGAGTGCTCTACAGGCTCTTCCCAAAGGAGGAAAGGCAGCGCTCAACAGGGACAGTGCTCTCTCTGAGTGACTTTGGGGAATCCATCCTGCTTTTCTAGAATGCTCAAGAGGGAGCAGCCCTCCAACCCTAATCTCCCCTCAGCATGCATTCCTGAGTCCCCTTTGTGGCCCACCTGAAGCCTCCTCCTAAATCAGGCCCATAGGACCAAGACTCCAGTCTTCCCCATATGAGCTCATCCGCATTGCCCTGGAGGTGCGGGGAGGCCAGGCAAGGCTCCGGCAAACTGCCCTGGGAGGCAGGGCTCTGAAGCACCCTGACGCTAATGAGCCACACACAGGGGCATCGCTCCTCACATAGGTTGACAGCCGTCATGAATTGTCTTCCCTTGTTGGTTCTCATAATTCAGTGTTTTGTGTTTGTTTTTCCTGTTGTTGTTATTGTTGTTTTTGGAAGTATGTAGACCATTTTTTTGGTCGGAAATTTTTCATTCTTATATAATTTCAAAATTTCAGAAAAATTGTACGAATAAGGATATCCTATAAAACTGTTTATCCAGATTCACCAATGTGTTTTTATTTTGTCCATTTGCTTCATCATTTGTCTCTCTCTCTCTAGATGGATGATATAGATATCTATCTATACAGAAACAAATATATGTATGCGTATATACACATATATGAATACATATGTATATCTATACCTGTAATTCTTTTCTGAGCCATACGAGAATAAGCTGTAGATATGATGTCTCCTTGTTCCTAAATCCTTGGCACACATTTCCAAGAACAAAGATATTCTCTTACAGGACTGCAGTACAGTTATTAAACTGTCCCTAAATCATAATCCATACTCAGATTTTATCAATTATAGCAGTTTTTCTGGTCCAGGATACAATCCCCGATCACAAATTACATTTTGCATTTTATTGTCAAATCTTTTTAGTCTGTTTTAATCTGGAAGAGTCGCTTCGCCTTTCTCATCCCAGACATTTTTTAAAGTCATTTTGTGGAATGTTTCTCAATTTGAGTTTGGCTCATGTTTCCTCCTGAGTAGATCCAAGTTATGCATTTTTGGCAGGAATGCCACTGAATTGAAGTAATGTTCCTCTGATTGCTGTGTATCGGAAGGCACATTATATCAGTTTGGCAAAAACTCAGTTCTGGAGTCACTGTCATGGCTTGAGCTTGGTGCTCTACAGGATATGAATGGATGTTTCCAACCTCTGGCTTCATGCACTACAATTGTGGGCAAAAAGGAGCACATACTTGCACAGACACAACCTGTCTGAAGGCCGGTGAGGTGGAAAGCCCAGACTATCCTGTTGGATGATGATGAACATATGGCTCAGTGGCCCCCAGCACCCTACCCAGCAGCCACCAACTCCCAGAAGCAAGGCCACCTAGCCATCAGCTGACTGTAGACTCAGGAATAAGCCCAGCCAAGACCAGGAGAAAGACACAAACTGCTGATCCAAAAAACTAGTGAACTAAATAAATAGTTGTTTTAAGCTACTACATTTTGGGGTGGTATGTTACATAGCAAAAGCTAACTGATACCCCTTGTTCAGCAGGGAAAGAGAAGATTCAGAAGCCCCACATATTCATTGAGATCACTGAAGAAAGAAGATCATGCTCTTTTTCTTCTGGCTCTGTGCTGTCTCTCTCAGGGATCTGAACTTTTGCCTATGTCTGGGATTCAAAGGATCATCTTAATTTATTTACATGGTTTTGAAAAACAAACCATGGATATTGTTCTCACCAAGCTTTACAGAGCAAGGCCACATCATTCAGTAGCTCAGCTGGGCAGAAATCAGAAGACTCTGTCAACACACTCTTCCATAGCAATGAGCAAATGAAGACTTTCTGGAGGAAGACCCCATAGGAGCAGGGAAGCTTGTCACTGATAAGTATCTAACAAGCAACAACCAGGGCCTTGGGGTTCACCTGGCTCTCTGATTTCCCAACTCCTCCGACCCCTTCCCTGGAGATTAGGATTTGGTGCCTCTAGGATGCAGCCTGAAGGAAATTTCCTTTGGAGAAAAATGATTTTTTTCCTTGTTCGTGTGCTGTCCACCATGAAGAGAGACTGGAGGGCAAGCTACATCAACAACTGTAGCAGATGCTGCCAGGGGTCTGCCCCGTATTGCCTAGATAACCTTTACCAGTTCCATGCACAGGGGTTCCCGGTGGGCATCTCTGCATCTTTGTTGGAAGGTGGCGCCCAGGCTCCTGGAACCCTTTGCCAGCACACAGCATAAACCACAAGTGCTTGGGAGTTTACATCCCCTGAAGCAGCCAACGACTGACAGGCACAATGGTATAAATACCCCTGCTCTCACCTCTGATCAGAAAAACTGGTGACCTACACTGTCTCCAGAGATCTCCTGTAGGACTGAGCCAAGGTCACCCCCACCTCACTGCCACTGTGGTCTTTGCTCAGTATTGCCACACCGCTTGGTCTACTTCCTTTCTCTTCCCACTGCCCCATTGCCCTATTGGCTTTCCTTTGGAAGACTTCCTCATCTCAAGGTCTGCCTCTGGAGAATGCAACCTAAGATGGCGACCACCATGCACACCCTCCAGAAACTTGACAAAGGCTCCGGCACTGACCTTCATCCTTAATACAAAGGGCACTGTACGTGCCACCAGGAACTGGGTTGCTTTCAATTCTCACATCAACGGCTCTCATGATTTGCTGTTCATTGCTCCCTTTGCTACACACGGTTGTCCTGAAACAGACAAAGAAGACACTGTGTTAGGAGGACTAACTAAGAATAGGAAAGAACAATTCTTTTCTGCCATCAGTTCCCAATCAGCAGAGATTTTTCTGAGTTAGAATCTTTGGCTGAAAGCATCAGTAGGGAAGTACTCTTCCTAGACAAAGGCCTGCAATCAGGAAGACATAGGTGATGCCTCTGTTGAGGCCCACATGTGTCAGTTCAAGTTTCAATGCCAGTACGTTGTTGATCTTTTCTAGTGTATGTGTGTTTTATTTCACAAAATGCTGCTCTTCTTATTAGTTCCTTTCTTTTTGAGGGGGTTTGTTTCTGTTCTTCTTCAGATTTCTGAAAATGGATCATTACTTAGTTCATAAACCTTTAGCCTTTTCTCTGTTCTAATACAAGCATCTAAATGTTTTACATTTCCCTCTAGGTATAGCTTTAGTAGCATCTTATAAGTTTGAGTACGTTATAGTTTTAGTATCATTCAGTTCTACATACATGCTACTTATTAACAAACCATAATTTATTCTTCTCCCATGATTTATTTAGGAGTATCTTTGGCAAACAGCAAATAGTAGAATTTTAAAAAAACCTTTGTTTTCTAAATGGAGCATCTCATCTATTTTAATCATCTAATTTAATCACAGATCTCTTTGAATTGAAATCTGCCATCTTTCTATTAGTTCTGCACATTCTTTCTCTCTTTTCTTTCCCCTATTTTGATTGTTTGAATCTTTTTTTGGCATTCTCTTTTTCATATTGGTCTGGAAGTTATATATCCTTTTACTATCCTTTTAGTGGTTATGACTTATTAATATTTAATATACTTTTACTCTCTTCTCCAACAATACAACTTAAAAATACTTAGAATAATATGTATTAGCATACTTAAAACACTACCTGATCTATGTGCCATTTTTTAGTGTTTAGTATTATTATTACTGCTTTATATAATTACATAATTTCAATTTACCCTGTATTCACTCTTGACATTCATTTCTTTTTTGCGTCTCCAGCCTTCCACCTGTAATTATTTTTCTCCTGCCCGAAGATTAGCCTTTAGTGTTTCTTTTAGTGCAAGTCCGATATAATGGATTTTCTCACCTTTTGTCTGTCTGAAAATGTCTTTATTTTACTTTTATTCCTGGAAGATATTTTCTCTGGGTATAAAATTCTAGGTTGGCAATAATTTTCTTGCAGCTCTTTGAAGTACCACTCAGTTGTTTTGGGGCTTTCATTGTCCATTTATTGTTGCTCCTTGGAAGGTACTTGTTATTACTTTTAATATTTTTCCTTTATATTTGATTCTTACCAGTTTCACCATGATGTGCTAAGTTTGAATTTATTTGTCCTACTCAGGTTTTGTAGGGCTTCTTAAATCTGTGCCTGGGTGTTTTTCTTCAGTTGTAGATAAGTCTCATATTGCTTTTGCTCCTTCTTTCAGAATTCCAATTACATGCATCTCTTCCTTTGACCCTTTCCTCTGTATTTTTCATCCTTTTTTCCCCTTCTGTTCTTTATTCTGGATACTTCCTCTGAAATATCTTCTAGTTCACTAATTTTTTCTTTGGCTCCTTTAAAATCAGCTGTTAGATCCATCCATTATGCTCTTAATTTCAGTTATTGTATGTTTCACTTCTAGAGTTTCCATTTGGTTATTTTCATAGTTTCAGTCTTTTGCCAAAATTCTCCTTCTTGTCTTCTGTATCTTTGAACATTTGAGAAAGTTATTTAAAGTCTGTATCTACCAATGCAAATATTTAGAGTTTCTATTCGTTGTCTTTATTCTGGTTGCCTTATCTCCTATGTGACTGTTTATTTTATATTGTGGAACAAATCCTATATTTTCTAAAAATTGTGGAAATAAATTGCCTAGGATAAGGTTATCTCCTTCTAGAGAGGATTTTTAAAATCAGTTCTGCTAGCTATTGGGAACACTGGAACTCCAGTATCATCTCAACCCACATTCGTGGCTCCAGAGGATTTTGAGCTATGCTGTGGCTACTATGAGGGCCTGTAAGCTTCTTCCAATTTACTCTTACTCCTGGGGTACAGTCCTGTAAAGTCCCAGCCCAAAGCAAAAGACTCTGCAGGCCCTGACTACACAAAAACCTGAATTCAAATCTCTGTCCTAGTCCTATGGGGCCATCTAAATTGCTACTGTCTTTCAGCCATCCTTTATGGAATCTGCAAAAGCTTCTAGGAGGCAAGTGGTTCCCAGTTCTGTATTCACCACTCTAGGCCTCCATCCTCCTCTGGATTTATGTGTACACTCAACATAAATTCATGGACATACAGATCAGATCTGCTATATATTTACTATGCCATCAATTGCAAGATGCACCGTGCATTTAATAATTGGTTTTCAGTGTGGAGGGGGGATGGCTGTATAGGAAAGACCCACAGTGAAATGTATATACTGATGATCAGATGCTTCTTGGTTCCAGAAACATTAAAATAGTTTTATTTTTAGAATTAATATGTTATGTAGTAAATATATCAAGTAAGTATGTTTGCTACAAAGAAATATTATCTCAGCAATGTAGAGATCTAGTAATATGTCCTAACATTTTAGAGCAAACCTAGAGAGGATGGACCTTTCTAAAGACCCAGTCCTGATTTGCGGTGCCTGGGAGACGGAAGTCTGGTTCCAAGCTGGCTCTTCAGAATTCCTGAATACCCTGGTTAACTGATGCAATGATAATAACAGAGTTACGAAAAATATCCACATTTGACTACACTGTGGAAACATGCATGTATAGGACCTGTTTTGTCTATTCAGGAACCTGGACGTAAAATGTCAGGCAGAGAGGGCCATGGGACCAGAGTCACTGGAAGGCTCTGGATGTAGCCTAGCTGTCCTCTTTATTCAACTGCTGCTTCATACATGACACAACCAGAGACGTAAGTCAGCCTGGTTGTGTGTGTTTTCTATGGCCATCTGCCAGCCCATCTTCAAGGTTATTATCAGCCAAAGTAGTTGCTGGAGACCACTTTGCTCTTTCACATTCCTGTGGCATGAAGGAGACAGTGGAAGGGCTCCTGCCTTTTCTGAGTATGACTAAAGACGCAGTTAGCAGAACGAATGGGCAGTTTTCTCCTAGCTAGCCACAAGAATTATTTCTCCACAAGGATCCCTTGGGTCAGGAACTCAGAGAGGGCACGATGCAAATGGCTTGTCTCTGCTCTCTAGTCTAGTCTAGGGCCTGAGGTGGGAAGACTCATAGCCTGGTAAGAACTCAACAGCTGGGGGTGAGACTCACGCTGAGGCACCTTCACTCACATTTCTGGCAATTAATGCTGGCTATGGGCTGGGACAGCAATGGGGGCTGTCAGTGGAGGCACCTATGTGGGGCATTTCCCTGTGGCCTGGGCTTCCTCACATCATGGCCTGCTCAGGATAGGCAGACGTCTTACTTGACATCTCAAAAGTGACTGTCCCAGAAATCTGGGCATGGATTTTTCCGACCTAACCTCAGAAGTCACATGGTATCACTCCTGCTGTATTCTATCGGTCAAGGCAATCCTATACCGTCCCTGATTCAAAGGGAGAGGACACAGACCCCACTTATCAATGGGAGTAATGTGAAAGAATTTGTGGCCCTACCATCCTCCTATTCATATATATGTAGATGAATATTCACAGAGAAAAAGAGATAAAGAATATATACCAGTTAAGAGTCACTACAAGCGAGGTGGGGAAAAAGAAAAAAGAGAAAAAACTTGGTACTTTTACATGTATCTGTATTATTTGAAATTCTTTACAAGCATGTATTATTTTTGTAACTTAAAAAGGAAATTCAAAATAACAAAGGGGGGAAAAACTGTGACAGAACGCCACAAAAATGTTCTTATTGAGAACTCAAAACAAGAATGTGCTGGAAGCTACTGCACATTGCATGTTGCCTATCCTGGCACCTCAATAAAACAATTACTGAGCTCCCATACAAGCCCTGGTAGGGTAGCGGGGGTGAATGGGAAGGAGAGCTTTCCCCAGCACACCTGACTTACCCCAGGGTGCCATCCGCCAACCAGCCAGTGGTGCACACCGCAAAGGCACAATCCTGGACCACCCTCCGCAGCTCTTCCGCAGACACCAGGTGAGCACCCCTGCTCTTGCAGGAAAGCCGAGCCACCTCCAGTTCTAGGCCCCGAGAGCCATTCTGAGACTCCAGCACAAAAAGCTTCCCTGTGTGGGGACAAGCATGAACACAGGCTTACTCCAGGATCCACGGGAATTTAACCTCAGCAAACTCACTCTCTGGCAGACACCTGTCAAAACTGGAGTTTCCCCCTTGCCTGAGGACCCGAGGGCAGCAACTACCCCATTGCACTCATCCCCAGGACTAGGTGATGACAATTACTTTGGGGTTTTCATCCGTTTTTTGCTCCTGTCTTCTTTAAAAAAAAAAAAAAAAAATTTAACCATCTGCTCTGGTATGTTTATCTGGATAAACCCTTCAAATCTTCCTTTCTACAAGCTATTTTACAAACACCACGGGGTAAGGCTCAGTGTTCTCCGTTCCCCTGAGTTGGGTCAGTTAGTGTCCAGGGCACTGATTTAGGTCTCAGCTCTGCCTTCTGCCCCAGCCCTAGGGTGACCCCATACACAGTTCTCCCCACTCCCTTCTCTCTGTCCTATTGTCTCAGGACACTATCAGGCCCTTCCTGCAATGAGTTCACTTGTGCTTGCTGCCATTTCTTCCAGACTGGACGAGGTAGCAGAAGCCATATCTGGTGCACCTTGGCTCACTGCAGCACATGGGCATGTAGAGGGCCTCAAAAAACGTGTGGCAGATGAACGGAATGGAAACATGAATTCAGGCAGAGGTGGAAGCTGAGGCTGAAAGCAAAAGAGAGCTTTAGGCAAGAAACCCATGGAGGAGGAGGGGAGCACTGCAGTCCCTAGGAGCTTCCTGTAGAGATGAAGCAATGCCTTAGATAACCTGACCAAGTTTAAGGTAAAGGCAGGGGAGAAAAACACCCAGTTAGAATGAGACACTTCACTTCTGTCTATTAGCAAAATTATCATAATATACTGATTTTATTAGAATGAGACACTTTAACTGTTATCAACTGCAAAATAACTATAATAAATATAACTATCCCTCAGCTTTGGAACCAAAGTTATGAGAAAAATGCAAAAATGTTTCACAATAAACATATCTATAGGTGACTGGTCCTCCCTTAGACTTGGTACCAGTATGCAATACACAACCTGAACAGCTGTACTTGATGGTTTGGTCTGGAGAAGCATGTGCCCCAAGACACTTTTGTATTAATGGCATTTGCCTATCTGGAAAAAAATATTATGAAATTTAACTAAAGTGTTGATGGCCAAGCCCCCGAGCAAGGGAGATAAAAGTGAAAGCCCAGGGCTCACAAGGTAGGTAATGTGATAGACCTCTCCACCCACCTCCACCACCATCTCATGCACATATTACTACACAAAGCTTGGACCCTGAAGGGTTAAACTCTCAGGATAAGAGTGAACAAGGATAAACAATATTCCCTCCCCTCATTCTCAAGGGACAGTTGGAAGAGTTGTCTTGGTGCTAGGAACCCACGCGCTAATCCTCATTGGGAATTGCAAAAACTGGCCTCTGAGATACTTTAAGCCATGAATTTAGCTTAAAGTGGCTTGAGATCGACATTTATCCAGACACCTGATAGGAACAAACATAAATCTTGTCTGGAGAAAAAATATTTTCATCTTATGCTTCAGGAAATCCCATGCAAATATTTTTTTCAAAGGCAATGACAACGACAGTAAAATACAACTAAGTGTATAGGAAACAAGACACCACTAGTGAGAAGCAACATATAAAACATTCAGCAGACACTGACTTACAGAGAAATCTGATACTGGTATTAATCGGCATAGATTATAAAACAGTGATGATTACTACATATAAAGGAATAAAAGGCACATCTGAAAATACCTACAAAGAATAGAAAACTATAAAAGGTGGCTTAGCTGATAAGAAAAAGAACCAGATAGGATTTCTAGAAATTAGATACAATGATAAATTAAAAATGCAATGGATATTTTTGGCTGCATATCAGACACAATTGAACAAAGAACTTATTCTTGAAACAGAAATCAGAAGAAAGCATCCGAAATGTAGTAAAGAGACAAAAAAGTTGGAAAATAATAAGATAATAAAGAGACATGGAGGAAAGAATAAGATTCCAGAAATAAACCTTCACATTTACAGCCAACTGATTTTCAACAAGGGTGTCGACAATGGGAAAAGAAGAGTCTTTTCAAGAAATGGTGCTGGGACAATTGTACGGGCACCTGTAAAAGAGTGAAGTTGGACTCCTGCCTCACCCCCTGCATGACAATTAACTCAAAGTGAATCAAAGACTTAAAAGGAAAGGCTAAAACTGTAACACCTCGAAGAAAACATAGGAAATCTTTGTCATCTTGGATTACGCAGTGGTTTCTTAGATATAACAACAAAAGCCCAAACAAAGAGAAAATACATAAATTGAACTTCATCAAAATTAAAAACTTTTTGCTTCAGAGGACAAAATCAATAAAGCGAAAAGACAACCCACAGAATGAAAAAAAATTTCTGCAAATACACATCTAATAAGAAACTTGTATATAGAATGGGTAAGGAACTCCAAAAACTCAACAACAATTAAAGAAACCAAATATTATTAAAAAAAAAAAAAAGAAACCAAATAACTTGACTGAAAGTGGGCAAAGGACTTGAAAACATGTTTCTCCGAAGAAGTTTTACAAATGGCCAATAGAACATGAAAAGATGCTCAACAGCATTAACCATTAGGGAAATGCAAATCAAAACTACAATTAAATACCACTTCATACCCATTACGATGGCTATTAATAAAAAAAGAAACAACAGAAAATAACAAGTGTTGGCAGAAATGTAGAGAAAAATTGGAACCCTTATGCATTGCCAGTGGGATTATAAAGTAGTGCAGCTGCTGTGGAAAATAATACAGTGATTCTCAAAAAACTAAACATGAAATTACCATGTGATCCAGCAATTCTAATTCTGGGTATATGCCCAAAGAAGTAAAAGCAGGGACTTGAATGATATTTGTACAAATTCATATCAGTATTATTCACAACACCCATGGGTGGAAGCAACAAAAGCGTCCATCAACAGATGAATGGATAAACAAAATGTGGTATGTATATATATAATCAGCCTTAAAAAGAAGAAAAATTTGACACATGCTACAACATGGATAAATCTTGAAGACATTATATTAAGTGAAATAAGTCAGTCAAATTACAGAGACAGAAAATAGAATGGGGGTTACCAAGGGCTGGGGTGGGGAGGAAAGAGAACTAATGCTTAATGGGGACAGAGTTTCAGCTGGCAAAGACAAAAAAGTTCTGGAGATGAACAGTGGTTGGTGATGGTTGCCCAACAATGTGAATATACTTAATGCCACAGAATTGTATACTTAAGAAGGGCTAAAATGGTGTTTAACAAATGGGTAATGGGTCTGAATAGACATCTTTTTTTTTAAGATTTTATTTATTTGAGAAAGAGAGAGAGCAAGAGAGAGCACGAGCAGCAGGGAGCAAAGGGAGAGGGAGACCAGACTCCCCGCCAAGCATGTGGCTCAATCCCAGGACCTGGGGATCATGACCTCAGCTGAAGGCAGATGCCCAACCGACTGAGCCACCCAGGCACCCCTGAATAGACATCTTTAAAGAAATGGTCAATCAGCACATGAAAAGATGGTCAACATGGTTAGCCAACAGAAAAATTTAAATCAAAACTACGAGATATTACTTCATATCCACTAGGATGGCTATCATCAAAAAGACATATTTTGACATAAGTGATGATGAGGATGAAAAGTAGAACCTTCAAACACTGCTGGTGGAAATGTAAAAGAATCTAGCTGCTTTGGAAAAGAGTCTAGCAGTTTCTCAGTTAATAGTAGTTCCTCATAGAGTTACCGTATGACCCAGGGATCACACTCTTAGGTGAATACCCAAGAGAACTAAAAACACATGTTTACATAAAAACTTCTATATGAATGTTCATAGCAGCATTATGTGTAGTAAATAATAAATTAAGTTCATAATTGTAAAATTGTGTCTAATAGCCAAAAAGTAGAATCCACCCAATGACTATCAACTGATGAATGGATCAACAAAGTACGGTATGAATATCCATACAATGGAATGTTACTTGGCAGTAAAATGAAATGAAGTGCTGATACATGCTGCAAATGGATAAAAACATTATGCTAAGTGAAAGAAGCCAGTCACAAAAACCCACATATTTTATGATTCCATTTACATGAAATGTCCAAAACAGGCAAATTCACAGAGACAGAAAGTAGTTGCTGAGGACTTGGGAGGTTGAGGAGAAACAAGAAGTAAATGCTAATGGGTATAGGATTTATTTTGGGGCCAAAAAATGTTCTAAAATTGTGTGTAGTGATTCATAACTCTGTGAGTATACTAAAGACCAGTGAATCACACACTTTAAATGGGTGAATTGTACGGCATATGAATCATATTTCAATAAAGCTGTTATTGAAAAAGGCATCACTAGAGAAGAACAGGTTCTGTTATGATGATAGTTATTTCATGAGTAATATAAAATAATTTTAAACACTTAAATAAATAACAACTCTAGACTGGAGGAAGGCAATATTAACAAAACTACAGAGAGATTTGGAAAACTCCACAGTGCTTATAATTTTTTTTAAAGATTTTATATATTTATTTGACAGAGAGAGAGACAGTGAGAGAGGGAACACAAGCAGGGGGAGTGGGAGAGGGAGAAGCAGGCTTCCCGCTGAGCAGGGACCCCAATGCAGGGTTCGATCCCACGACCCTGGGATCATGTCCTGAGCCGAAGGCAGACACTTAATGACTGAGCCACCCAGGCGCCCCTCACAGTGTTTATAATTTTAAGCACAATCCTCCTCAGTAATTGATAAAACAGGAAAAAATTGGAACGGATATAGAAGATTTAAGCAACAAAATTAACACACTTGATGTAAGGACCAATGCACAATACTGCATACTACAAAATACACATTCATTTTAGACACATACAGGACATTTGTAAAATTGATCAAATACTGAGCTACAAGACAAATCGAAAAACTTTTCAACACTCAAATCATACAAAGCATGTTTTTAAACCACAATACAAACAACCTAAAATCATTTATTTA